ACTCGAACGCTAGAACTCGACCTCCATATTTTTTGTACAAAGACCTCTTGGATTTCAATGTGGGAAGCAACACAGGAGGAAGTTTCCAGCTTCCCAGCAAGAGATCCGGCAACTTTGAGCTATTTTCCAGCCAATTCCAGCCATGACAGGATCCCATGTTGGTGCGATTATTATCGGTGACTCCAGCTTTCTTAGTTCGAGCGGCTACGACCTCGCAAATATCTATTTTAGTGCTGAGCTTTCGTGCCAACAAGGATTCTTGGCAAATCTCAGTATAGGTGGCTACCTTTGAAGGTATAATTCTTATCCTACCTTACTATACTTTACTTATACTCTGATATCACATGTGAAATTGGTTCATTCCTGTTCACAAGCACACATTTTTTTATTTAGGCACTTTTGGGGGCGTTTGTTTGCCCTCACTAGGTTGGACTGGACTGGACTGGACTAACTATTAGTCCAATACTGTGTTTGTTCCATGCTGGGACTAACATTAATGAGACTAAAGGGGATTAGCATGGACAAAACCCTTCACTAAGAGGTCTTAGCGAGACCCCCCAATAACCATGGGACTAGCTAAGACTATCCTCTCTTTCTCATCCTCGTCATGCTCAACGACCACTCCCGACAAACTCCTCGTCATCTCCGATCACCTAGATCAATCATTAACTTTCCGACTCTCTTTCAGATCCATTTCACAACCAACTTTCATATAAAATATACCAAATTGAAGCTGGGAGTGACAAGATTACAATTTTACCTGAATCGAGGCCAAAATATGGTCAAATGTGGCCGAAAAATGGCCTGGAAGTCTCGGCCTGTTTGGGCTTCTTCAAATCCATGACAGATTCGAGCATTCAAAGCTAAGATCTCAGTCTAGGGATGGTGATGAATTTTTTGGCGGTGCTAACTTCATCCAATTTAACAAGGGTTGGCCGGAAAACACATCGGGAAACCTGCAACTCGTCGGGAAAATTGGAGCCGTGAGGTTCCATTCGAACAACGCATAGCTAGAGAGGGAGGGAGGACAGAGAAATAGAGACTGGAATCAATAAGGAGTTTGACCAAGAATGAGAAAAAGACATGAATTGAGAGGTCTAAGAGGAAAAAAAAAGGGAGAGGGTGGGACGATCAGAGAAGAGGAAAAGAGTGGGACGGAAATGGTAGGAAAAGATGAAGAAAACGATAAGATCATAATAAAATATTAATAATTTATATATTAAATAATATAATATTAGAATTTGTTATTATCTAGCTTCTTAGTCCAATATTGCACCAAACGCTTCACTAAGTTAGTCCAGTTTAGTCTAGTCTAAGCCAGTCCAGCTTAGTCCTTGAAGCTAATCCAGTCCGAGATAGTCCGGCGCAACAAACGCCCCCTTTAGGTTTAAATTTATTCACATTTTCTACATCACTACACTTTATGGCTTCGTCACCCTCTGGGTGTCAGCCAGCATAGCTCGATTCGGAATCCAAGTGGACATTTCGGGTCAGGGTGTGTCATTTCATAAGCGCATTACTTTTTTTCCAGATTATTATTCCAATTGTTGTTTGAATTTCAATACGATGGCCAATTTTGGTGCTTTCATCAAAGAGAATGTGGGCAAAGGTTCCAGAAAAGGTAATATGTACGAAATTTGGTGTGTGGTATAAATTATATATTTAGCTTGACTATTTAAAATTTATATTTTGTTAGTAGACAAGAGAAAGAAGAGAGTTGCGCCCCGAGTCCGATACATTTTTGGTGGGAGATTTTACCAAATCACGTATAAAGAATTAAAGGGATATGGGGTGTCAGAGATGCGCTCCAGGTTTAGGTGCGAAATTGGGGCATTAATGTGTACCAAATGTTATGTCGAGTGGAAGTCTTGGAGAGACTTGCCTAAGGAGTTCAAGACACAGTTCATTGATGAGTTAGCTGTACGTGTTAATTAGTTAAATAATAATTATGTTCCATAAATAATATATTAGATTGATTTATAATTTATTAATTTTTGCATAACAGCTGAATTGAGACATTACAAAACTGTCCCAAATATGATGAAGTGCATTGACAACATATTCAAGTTGTCTTTCCGGAGTGGAAGTTTGTTGCTTAATGTGTGGCAGAACTGCTGTGAATACCTGAACCACCAGCGGCAGGGTAGATTTGTTATTGTTTTTTTTATTTTTTTTATTTTTTATTTATTTATAATTTTTATATTTTATGGTTAATTGAATAATGACATTTGACTTTTAAGTTTATTTTTTATGAACGGTACTTTTAAATATGTCTTTAATGTTTTTGTTGGATGCAATGGTAATGCAATAAATGTTTATGTTAATTAAATATGTATGAATGCTTTAATTAAATAATTTCTTGATTTATTTGGGTGTTTTTTATTACTGTCTTTATTAAATATTTGTGGTTAAAAATAAATTAAAGAATGAAAAATAAATATTAATTAATAAGAAAAATAAATAAATGTTGTGGGACGAAGCTTCGTCTCACAAAGGTAATTTTGTGCAATGGGATCTTATACCTTCGTCGCGCAAACTAGGTTGATAAGCGGGGCAAAAATGTAAGGGAATTGGCGCCAAAAGTGTTAAAGGCATAGGTTTACTAAACACCCACATCATTGCATATTAGGGTAACATTGTTTTTGTGATTTTGATCTTTATTTTAGGTCAAGTTTTCTCTAAGTTTCAAATCTTTGAACTGACATCTTTTTGGATTCATGTCAGTTTCATCTTTCAAGTGTTTAATTGGTGAAACTGACTAGACATTAAACCCAAATTTGCATTAACTTCATCATAACATTATTTACATAAGTTGATTTGATTTCGATGCCACAAGGTAAAAAGCTCAAGAGGAGCTACCACTTCATGAAGACCGAAGGAATCCATCTCGTGAAAGGCAAGGTTGCACAAAGGTACAAGCTGCTCTGTAGATTAGGATCTAGGAATTAAGTTTTTGTGATTGCTTTTTAAGAATCTTGATTTCACAGTGGAGAGTCCCTAGTTTTTTAACCCAAAGGTGGGTTTTTCCGGCCAACAACTCCTTGTGCAATTTATCGTTTTTCTAGTTTACTTATCTTACTCTTTACTTGTGATATGTGTTCATCACTATTTGCAAATAGATAAGTCCATGCAACTAAAATTGTTATAGTTAAAACATGCACTGAACTGGATCTTAGTTAACTAGGAACACTTCAGTAAACTGAGCTTTAAATTGACTTCTTCTGCTGTGAGTAAACTAACATATATAATCTTAGTTGACGAGTGTTGCTGACTCATTAGACAAGCACGTACATAGTTTTTAAATTGCAGGTTATTCCACCTGCTACCAATTTCATAGCATATCATGTTGTTGACCCTAACTTAGTTGAGAACCATAGTTTATTTACTTACTACTCATTTGAGTTTCGCAGCTTATCCGAGTTTTATTTGTCCAGTGCACCATTCCTCGGTGTAGTACCAGTTTTTCAAGTGACATGTATCGTTAATTATGAGGGACTTCAATTGTAGTTGTGGTGAAGTTGAGCATCTTAAGTGACTAGGTTCATTACCTTATTTATCTTTCATTTCGGTACTTCACATTGCAAGCCCACCAGAATTGTTTATTAGGTGCTTTGTGTATGTATTTTATTGAAGTACTGAACCTAGGTTAATTTATTGTTATACTATCCTAAAGTCATGTGTCAATCCTAGATGTATCTCGGGATCAGAATATTTTGTGGTTTATATCACTTGCAAAGGGTAATCTACTTCATCAAACGCTTAATATTTTATGAGATGAGGATTCTAATTATGCGAGGCACGAGGCGCTACTTTTGACATCTAAAATAAATATTAGTGAGTGAGCATGCAAATTAATCTGGTCCATGAATTATTATCCGAACATATAATTAATACCTTAAAGTAATTTTTTTTTTTTAAATGTTCCTCTATTATTACATTTAAAACTATTTTATCTAATTCTCCGTCAATTTAAGTTACGTATTTGCATGTAACACATAAGCCTTAACGATTTATATATGTTGCAAACCTAATTGCCAACTTACTTTCCAAAGTTAACTACATTTTTTTTCTGGAAGAAATGTCAACTCATTAAACTTTGATAATTTACCTTTTAAGTGTATCACATGCAGAAATGTAAATTGTTTCTGGTTATTTGATTTAAGTTACAATGGTCTACTTAAGTCAATAGATTCATATGTAGGGCCTCGATTCAATCTATTGTTGGTGATAGCCAAGTGTCATGCCATTGTTGATGACCATGTGTATGGCTTAGATTGGATTTAGCGCAAAGGTGTAAGATAATGTTTTGTTGATGTGGGCTCCGCCGCATTGAATTGAGCCGCACCTTTCCTTATACTGAAATATACAAAACCTTTGTTCTTCATTCTTCAAGTTTTTCTTCAATTTTATTTCCCAATCCATCAATTTAAGAAAACAACATCAAATACTAAAAACCAACACAAGTCACGTAATTTAAATTGAAAAAAATTAAATAGAATAGCTTACAATCTAGTAGAAGGGAAGAACTTGGAGGTTTTAATGAATTTAAGGACATTTAGTTGAATATCCTTAAGGAGCCTGATTTTTTAAACGGTAGAATTATAAGAGCTAAGTTCAAAAGTGTGCAAGGAATGAACTCAAAATAAAAACTAAAAATTATTTTCAACTTGTATTTACTTTCAAGATTTTGTTTTCATTCATTTTCTTTGTTTCTTCATTCCCTTCCACCAGTCTTCTTCATCCCTCATTTTCGCCTCCACTCTTCTTCATCCCACATTTCCTCCAAATAATTTCTCCACAACTGATACACAAAAAAAATGAAAACTAAAAATAGAAAACATTTGGATTATCTCACAAATATGATCTCGCATTTCTGTCGTATAATTCCCCTTTTTATATTAATGGAATAGTTTTTAGCACTTAAAAGTCATTATGCGCTTGTAAATGTATAGATTTGACAAATCGGCATTATGTATCTATCAAAGACAAGGGGCAAGAAATAATTGCTTGGTCATAAGCCAGTAATTTCTTTCTAATTAATATATGTAGTAGATGACCATGAGAAGTTTTCCGCAAACATTCATCGTTTCAGCCAAATAATTATGCAAGTTTGATCGTAGCATGCATGTACTAGCAAGTTACCAAATGATCGATATATACAAATGATCGATCATCACTTAATCATTTTCTTAATTCTTAATAACATAGCTTATCTTCTTAGATCCATCAGCAAAAACTGCTAGAGTTGTTGATTCTTCCATAGCTAGTACGGCCTCTGCCCAATATAGTTGCCTGGGGGATCATAGTTGCATACAATGAAGGTACCCCCACTGCTGCACCTCACTTTTGCGCACCCTACACGAGCCGAGTTACGCCAAACCACCTGTGTATAATGCCCACACACCTTTCCATTAGCACACGAGTTTGACTCATAAATGTAGTCGGCTTTCTCCGCCACCCACAGGTCCACAGCCGCCGTTCCCAACATGTCACTAGTGCTCATGGCAAGGTTTTCGCCATATGGCCCACCGGAGTGCACGAGATTGCAGTCGCCAACATGTTGGTTGGCGTACTTTTGTGCATAGGCTGCTACATTGTCATCCCACGTCAAGGGAACAACGCCTACTGCTGCTCGAGCGGCGTTGTGGGAATTGAGATAGTTTTGTGTGTCAGAGGATTGGATAACGGCTGAGCAAAGGAGAACTAGGGAAATATTGCACAACCCCATGTTAATGGTTTGTTCTCTTTGTGGATGGGCAAATGAGATGTTATGGTGCGGAGTATTTATAATAGTGGGGAACGGTAAATGTTGATATTATGAGCTCTGAGAAATTGAGGATGTGGAAATTTATTTGCATGAGTATCAAAGTTGAACGTTCACATTGCGTCATCAGCTGAAGAAACAAAACCGTCGCCAACGGCTCACTTTTACAAGTTAAATTTATGAGAGGATTAACTTTTTTTAGTACAAGCGATATTCTACATACTGTAGACAAGAAGGGAGAGTTTGAACCAAAAAAGAAGATCTCAACCACTATGATAATTTACCACTTGCATTAGAACTACAAAGATTAGTTAAACTTTCTCGAGGTAATTAAATTGTCAGTATAACAAAAATAAGCAATAGCAACAGCAAAAACGTGGCTATTGCTGGGGTGACAATAATATTGATCATTGACCTAGATATTATGTTGCTATGAATACTTTAATTTCGCGATATTTGGTAACACAATTAACAATCCCTTGAAACCTTTGAAATTTATGTTGATGATGCAACATTGGAACAAATTGGAACAAATTGCTTTGGTAAATAAGCAGATCTGCTTCTTCGAATTGCGTTTGTCCATATCTGTTTACTTCTCTTTTCTATATGATCGATGCATGCATGTAGGAAACGTACATGTTCATCTGTAGAAGGAAAGGTCTACTAAGCCTTACCGTCAATTTCGGGGACAAATTGATCGTAATTGTTGGATTCATGTCTGCAGTGTACTTTGAAAAAGAAAATTAAATGCGATGTGGAAAAGTATGCACTGTTGCAATACGTGTGGTATACGGGTCTTTTCTGAAGTTTTATTTTCTTGAAACAAATATGTTTTGGGTGCCAGAAATTTATCTAAACCACACAATCAGCTAACCATAAATTTGGTACTAGTATATGCCCACAATCAAAGTGTGTGTAATTTTTTTTTTTAAATTTTGTTTTATTTTTTAACAAACGATATTATCTACACTATGGGAGGAGCGGGTGGGCTTAGCCTCACAATGGCTAGCAAAATTGTGGTTAAAATTCATCTTTGATAAGAATTAAACCTAAGATCTCTCACTAACAAGTGAAGAGGAATGCAACTAGACCGTAGTATTAAGTGATAATTTTGTTTTTAAAATTGAAGGAGAGAAGATGAGAGAGAAGGTGAGAGTGGGGAGAGAGGGAGAGAGGTTTACTTTTTATATAAAAAAATAAATAAAGATGTTAAAATCACTTGTAGGTGAGACTTAAACAAAAAACAGCTAAATTTTGTTGTGTAAAATTACATTACTGCCCTTAATTTTTTTCGTTATGATGGAAGCTTAATTTGTCTTTTTATCCTCTTTTGGTTGACAAAGAATGTTCTATTAATATGTAGTTAAGATTACTTTAAAAACAAAAACATAAATTTGGTATTGAACTCCTCTCTAGGAAAACCAAATTTAAGACTTTCAACTTACAAAATTTACAAAAAGATGAATACTACTATATTGTAGTAGTAGAGGAAAACCAAATTTAAGACTTTCAACTTACAAAATTTACAAAAAGATGAATACTACTATATTGTAGTAGTAGAGGCACAAGTCTTCTTTCAATTAAAATAAAATAGAATATTATGAACCTCACATTTTTCCCCTAACATTATAGAGGAGAATAATTGAGTTATGTCACACAATTGTTAGAGTTCAAGATTTTGTATATGAATTTCGTTGTAGTATTTGAGAGAGTGGACTGGATTTTTTGAGAAAGATGAAGTTGCAGAGAGAATGTTTGAAGGAATTGGAGTGCATGCACAAACACTACCACGTTTAACATTTAACGCGACCAACAGAAATTGATCGCGCAATGCTTAATAGCATCACACAAACGTATGCGTGACGAAAACTTCATTGAGCAGAATCCGTGGCGCAAAGATCGTAAAGAAAGACTTTGCACGATGAACATAAGCATTGGTTGCAAAAAATAAGGTGCGATGGTTCCTTATTCGTCACACAAAATTTTTAGGAACGAATATGTTTGTCACACAAAATGTTAGGATACAAACTTGGGACGATTAATATTCATTTCTAAAAACTTTGCGCGACGACATGTTGTTCTTGTGCGATGAAAGTGAGTTATCGCAAAAAAGTATGCACGATGAGGCTATTCGTTGAACAAAAAAAAATGTTTTTTTTAAATTATATTTTTTGTTCTAGGATTAATTTTATAATAAAATAATAAAATTAAATTGAATTAAAAAAATGTAATGAAGAGAAAAATAATTTATTTAAAATAAAAATAAAATGTATGTACAAGGAAAAAGTTTTAAAAGGGACTAAACAACTAAGGAAAAAAGGGGCAATAATCTACGGGGTCATCGTTCACATGCGGCTGGGAAGATTGGGGCAAGAAGGGCTCGGGGTTGAGGACAAGCTCAGAGGTCGAAGGGGCGGGGTTCTGGGCATGCTCGAGTTGGAGGGGTTCAGACGTCGATGAGGGACGAGTATCCGGGAGACGAATGTCGAATTAACTCTGTACAATCAGTGACATCTGGCTCCTATACGAGATGAGCTCAGTCCTAAGGTCGCCCACCTCTACTGTCAAAGTTGTCACCTCACCTTCGACTATGAGGATGAAAAGGCTCTAGGTTCCCGCCGTCTGGCATTCCCCATCCCCCTACAATACAACCTCCGCCTGAGAGTCTAATCCAAGGTGTCTATAAGGATCTGAAACCCCACATCCTTGGAGGGATCCATAGACTCGAGCGAAGTCTCAAGAGGAAGCTGGGAGGCAGACTCTTGAAGAACCAACTGCCTCTTCTCCATCATCATCGTCTGTGTAATATAACCTGAAATATTAATAATAAAATTCAAATGATAACCATGATACTTGAATGCATAAGATAGTAATTACAATTGAAGAATACTTACTTGAAGGGACTCGGCCAACTCATCCCTCGGTCGAGCATAAACGTTTGCAAAGACATCGATCTCCGGGAATTTTGAACCACCCTGAATAGAACAAGATAAGAAAAATGTTAGTACGAAAAAAAAAATATTATTGACATATTAAAAATTGAATATGAAAAACTTTATTATTACCTATTGTCACGCTTCCATCCTATATGAGAAGGGCCTCAAACCCGAATGGTGGAGAAAAGTCTTCTTTTCCCGATTGATCTTGTAGGCTTTTGCCTTCTTTTGTTATATAAAAAATAAACGTATTAGTTCTAATTTAAATGAAATATTAAAAAAATCAATAAACATTAGTAAGAAACATATAATACTTTTAGACTTAATATAAAAAACGTACCATATAGCCGGGCTCCTGAAAATGACTGCAGAGCCACACCCAATTTTCTTCCTAGTCCTCAAACTCCTTCGGGTAACCCTCCTCAAGAGCGACCTATGGATCATCAAATGCCTGAAAATATTGGTGCAGGTCGCTCTTCCACTACTTGTACGGTCCAACGAAAAGCCTGTTGATGTACGCCAACATATTGTCGTTGATGTTGTCAAAATTGTAGTTTGTCTGCAATGTAACAAATTAATTACATACATTAAGTAATATAATTATATAAAATTTAAAGGAAAAGCAATAAAAAGGCATGATACCTACCGACAAATAAGTGCGCACCTTTGTCCTCACCTCGTCTAGCATCGCCTTCCAAGACTTCCATCACATAAGGCAATATAATATAAAAAACGTACCATATAGCCGGGCTCCTGAAAATGACTGCAGAGCCACACCCAATTTTCTTCCTAGTCCTCAAACTCCTTCGGGTAACCCTCCTCAAGAGCGACCTATGGATCATCAAATGCCTGAAAATATTGGTGCAGGTCGCTCTTCCACTACTTGTACGGTCCAACGAAAAGCCTGTTGATGTACGCCAACATATTGTCGTTGATGTTGTCAAAATTGTAGTTTGTCTGCAATGTAACAAATTAATTACATACATTAAGTAATATAAATATATAAAATTTAAAGGAAAAGCAATAAAAAGGCATGATACCTACCGACAAATAAGTGCGCACCTTTGTCCTCACCTCGTCTAGCATCGCCTTCCAAGACTTCCATCACATAAGGCAATAGGTCCGAACGACGTTGACCAATGTCGTGGGCCAATGTGCTAGGCTGCTCCGGCATTGGTGCAACTCGATGCCTGTTGTCGTATCCGATCGTGATACGTTTGTTTGTCACCCGGGTGACCTTCACCGTCTTCAACTGGCGACAAGGTCCCCGAGTATTTTTCTTTGCTGAAAAAAAAAAAAAAAAAAAGAAACAATCAAACACGACAAACTATACCAAAATTTCGGCAGAACCTTCCCTAAAGTTAGAACATTTCCCAAACCCTGTACATTGTAATTAATAATATATGATATCCAACAACAATCACAACAGTTGAATGCTTCAGTAGTGGATGCCAAGTGAAATATTATATAGTAGAACCTGGGAATTTAAGCAGCAAATGCTATCATGAATTGCTTCAATCCTTGAAAACTAACAGCCTAACGCCTATCATGATCATTCAGATGAGAATCCTTTATATAAAGGACATGCAGAGAAAACTAAATTATCAACTTTACACAATTCCCTTCTACTTACCTAATTAACAAACTAAAGATCAAACTTAAAGCAGCTCCAGCTCAATTTTTGAACAAAATTAAGCTAGTAAAACTCGTAATTAAGTAGAAAAAAAAAAAAAAAGACCGAGCAGCAAAAACAAAATTTCAAAGATTAAGTAGAACAAAAAATCAATGAGCTTTTTCCAATCTAGAGATTGATCAGAGCATAATTTAATTAACCATAATAATCAATCTTAACTAGCAGCAAAAATCAAACCAAAAAATCGAACAAGTAATCGAATTAGATAAATGCACGGCAGCCGCTAACCTTAGGACTAAAGAAAATTGAACAAACAATTTCAGAGACATGTTGTTCCCTACAAAGAACTAATGACACTTTCCTAGCATCATTAGGCAATCAATATCACATAGAATAGTCTATATGGAGAAATCACCAAGTCATTATAAAAAATAAAAAAACGGATATCAGCGTGTGGGACGTTATTTAACTTTACCTTGTTGTGACCC